AGTAAAAATACATATAACATGAAATTTAAATATCATGGATGCATGTAAAACCGGAATCAAATCTGAACACGAAAAGTGAGGTTGTGCCAACAAAGTGACAAACGAGAAAAAGACGAAAAGTGAATAGTGTCAAAAAAATGAAAATGTGGAAATGACTCGGTCTTTAAAGGAAATTGTCAATCCAAAGGAAAGAGTCTTGGAAACTATTTTCGAGCACTCAAGACGACACTAAGTGATGAGCAACCGAACTCAGAAAGGAAAATTCAACGGAAAAAAAAAATATCCTTAAAATTTGAGAAAAAATAAAAGGAAGGAAAATGACCGGGTCATTACACGCAAAATATGATATCTCATGAATCGATCTTTGTCGGGGCTGAATTTTTTAGATATTTGACTCCATATGTAAATGAATAATTTTGAAAATTTTCTTGCAAATATTTCGTGTATTAAAAATAAAATAAGATTGTTGGAGTAGATTTTTAGATTACTTATTTCTCTCTGGTTATAAAGGTTTGTTGTACACACCTTATATTTTTGGAATCCTTATGTCATAAGCTTTCCGTGCATATATTATTTACAATTTTAAAATGTATGATTTGTGAGATATGAATTTTTGAAGTTTGAGAGAATTAAGATTTAAATAAAAGGGCATTTTGATCCAAATATCAACTCTTTTACCCCCCTTTAGATAGTTGAGGGGGGTCTTTTGATAAAAAAAATTAGATAAAGCATTTATTGGAGAAAAAGTTACAAGGGTTCTTTGGTAAAAAAAATAGACAAGGGGTTTATTGAAAAATACTACAAGTTAAGAGGGGTTTTCTGTACCTTGCCCATTATTTTATTATCTAATTTATAAATCAATGATTTGAAATTTTTGACACCACGTTCTTTTAATAATATATATATAATATAGATATAGATAATAGTATAGATAGATAGATAGATATATTTATAGATAATGATGACCAATTTTATTTTATTTTATTCTATTTATTTTTTGTTGTATTTTAATTGGTAACTTACATTTATATTTTAATTGGTAACTTTTAATTGGTAACCTATGTTTATATTTTAATTATTAATTTTTAATTAGTAACTTATGTTTGTATTTTACTTATTTTGTGGTAGAAATCTAAATTGAAAACCAAATTAGGATTATTATTTTAATTGGTAACTTATTTTATTATTTAATTTATAAATCAATGATTTGAAATTCTTGACCTCCCTTGTACTTTTAATAATATATATATATATATATATATATATATATATATATATATATATATTAATTATAGTATAGATATATAGATAATAGTATAGATAGATAGATAAATTTATTTACAGATAATGATGACCACTTATATTATATTTTATTTTATTTTATTTATTTTATGTTTGTATTTTAATTGGTAACTTATGTTTGTAATTTAATTGGTAACTTTTAATTAGTAACCTATGTATATATTTTAATTTGTAACTTTTAATTAGTAACTTATGTTTATATTTTAATTGTTAACTTTTAATTGGTAACTTTGTAGTTTTATTGGTACTTATTTTATTATTTGTAATTTTTAATTGGTAACTTATGTTTATATTTTAATTGGTAAATTATGTTCTATTTTTACTGGTCATTTATTTTATTATTTATCTATTTTTAATGATTTATTTATAGATAATGATGATTTGAAATTCTTGATACCTCTTGTACTTTAATAATAGTATAGATAGATATATATTAATCGCTAACTTTTAATTGGTAAATTATGTTTTTTTTTACAGGTAATTTATTTTGTTATTTATCTATTTTTAATAATTTATTTATAGATAATGATGATTTGAAATTATTGACACCCTGACATAGATATATATAAAGAACTAATCTTTCTTTTTCTTTTTCATTTTTCAATTGTCCCCATTGATTTTTTTTTTTTTTTTCCTTCCTTTTTTTCTTAATTTTTTTTTTCTTTCCTTTCTTTCTTAAATTTTATTTTATTTTTTCCTGAAACTACTTTTTAAACAATTTTCATTACCTTTCTTACAACTCCTCCTTCAATCCATATATAAACAAGTAACCTTAAATTTTTTCCTTCCTTTATTTATTCCCTTTTTTTTTGTTTTTTTTTTTCCAATTCTTATTTCCTATTTTGTAAGAACATTAAGAACCTGATATGTTTAAGACAAAACTATCCCTTTAAACCTTCCTTCCCTCTCACCTTCTCATCTATGTTTAAGACAAAACTATACACGCGCGCATGAATCCATATGGAGCATATATATATATATATATTAAAAAGAGCTAAAGGTGAAAATTGAAAATAGAAAAAAAAAAAAAAAAAAGGGAAATAATGAAAGAAAGAAAGGGAAAAAAAAAATAGCTAATGGCGAAAATTGAAAAAAAAGAAGAAAGAAATGATAGAAGGATAAAATTTAAGGTTACTTGTTTATCTATCTATCTATATATATATATTATATGGATTTAAGGAGGAGTTGTAAGAAAGGTAATAAAAAATGTTTAAAAAGTAGTTTCAGGGGAAAAAGAGAGAGAGAGAGAGAGAGAGAGTGTGTGTGTGTGTGAATAAAGAAAGAAAGGAAGGAAGGGAAAAAAAAAAAAAAAAAAAAAAGAAAAGAAAAGAAAGAAAGATTAGTTGTAAAAGTAAAAGAAAGATTAGTTGTTTATATATACACACACATATGGATCAAAGGATTAGAGGTAAGAAAAGTAATAAAAAAGGTTTTAATGGGTAATTTTGTCTTTAAAAATTAATTTTGTTTTAAAGAAGGTTATGTTTTTCATGTTCCTTAAACATAGGACAGAAGTAATTAATGAGATTTAAAGTAACAAATGAAAAAAATGACTATGTTCAAGCAACTACCTGTAAAGTATATTGTTCAAAATATTTTTATTTTACTTGATTTAAATTTTATATTTGAAAAAAATTAGTTCAAATCAAAGTGTTCATTATTCCCAACTTACCATAAGGTTTCAATATTTTTAGAATTTAAAAAGAACAATGTTTATAGAACAACAATTTTGAGATAAATAATTGAGAAATAAAAATTAAAAGAACCTGAAAGCTATTCTAAAATACAGTTTCCAAATACATGTGCCAAATGAAAGTGATAGTTTCTACTTCTCTTTCTCTTTTGCCTCAAAGCATAAGTAAAAGTTGGATTCCATCTATTTTATTTTTCCAAATTTCCCCTTATGCCACCATTCGCTCAATAATTATACAAGAGTATCCCGATAATGTCCCATCTCTTATATTTTTCATACTTTATACCTCAAAATCATAAAACTCCCCAAATAAAGTCTTGAAATTTACAAATCAAACCTTTAATAGCAACTAAAGGCCTAAAAAAATCTGGGGGTATTGCTCGAAGTTATCGAGATTTCACTGTGATGAAGACCAAAGCAAAATTACAAATAATTAACCACCACCGCCCTACTATAGTAGTATAGAATTAGGGCAACATAATAAATGTGAAAATAGCATAAAACCCCACAAAAAAAATTTGAGATCCACACTTCCTATCATGAGTGAATGGGTATATAAACGAGTCCTAAATAAACCTACCAAATTGACCACCATCATGGAGTGAAAGAGCAGCAAAACCGAAATCTTATGATGTTATGAAATCATATGCTTACTTGATTACGGAAAGGATGACAGTAGAATTTCAGATTTCTTTTTTTAAAAAAATTGTACACAGTACAATTTTTATTGGTGTGATCTTAATTCAAATTTGGCTGAAAGGTTATAATCTTAATTCATTACTTAGGTTGACTCTAAATTTTGAATTGTTCATGAATTTGAGTCTGAGGACTTTAGTAGCTAAATCAATTAAGTTTTTTTTTTTGGCAAGTGTAAATTAATTTAGTTAATGAGCATGAAAAATATTTTTAGGCAATGGTATATGGAAAAAGGAAAATTTACCATTAATAATTTTGGCTTAGAGTTTCAGCTGTAGATGCAGGGATTGTTTATATTGATTTGATCCCAACACAAAATTTGAACCAAGAATAAGGATTTCTTGGGTGATAAGGTAAAAAATCTTATGGAAGGTTAAATGAAAAAGGTAACGGAATATGCCATTATTTTCTTGCCATTTTCAATTGTTAATGACCTAATTTACCACAATTGTGTGTTACAGTTTTTTTTCCCTCCTCTATAAATTCACAGTCCAGACTTTAATTCAATCCGCATTACCATTACTACTATCATCTTCTTATTCTTTACACATCTATCTTTTCTTGTGAGTAGAATTTCTCCTTTTCCTTTATATTTGTTCACAAGTTTTTAATTTTTGATAACGGAATGCTGATAATACTTACTGTTTGTGTTGTGTTGTGTTGCATGGAAGGTCTTTTGTTGGAAAATATGGCTCAATGTGTTTTGACTACTGCTTCTCATAGCCTTAAGGAGCGTTTGCAGCATGTTATAGCATCTCATCCAGAAAAATTACTCCAACTCACATCTTGGTATTGTTATTATATATTAATTTCTTTTTGCTGATGTGATATTTTTATGTTTGCTTAATTTTTCTGCTTTGGAAAAATTGGACCATAATCTTTATAAGTTGTAACATTTAAGATTTCATTTATTTTGTTTACAAGTAAAACTATACTTCCATTAGTGTCAGTGTGATCTCCTTTGAGGGTAAATATTTGTGCTCAACGAAAACCCCTTCTCTTTCTCCATGTGGTCAAGAAATTTTATAAAATAATCAAATTACCCTTAAATTCATTCTCTCCTTTATTTTATTTTATAAAATAATCAAATTACCCTTAAACTCATTCTCTCCTTTATTTTATTTTATAAAATAATCAAATTACCCTTAAACTCATTCTCTCCTTTATTTTATTTTTTTAGTTTTATTATTATAACCAAATTACCCTTAAACTCATTCTCTCCTTTTTATTTTATTATTTTAAACCCACCATCCCTGTCTCACACACATATTTTTTTTTTGTTAACAACACATATTCATTTATATATATGAATTTTATTTAAACCCTGATACAACACCACCACTACTACTTACTCCGTCGCCCACCTCTACCTCCACTCCATTCCTGGCTCTCACCAGATGCCGCACCACTCCGCCGCCATTACGATTCCTCTCTCTCATAATCTTAGTATTTCCTACATGGGGTTTTCATTCCAATCAACATACTCAATCAAAATCATCAAAATATTTCATACATATTTCATACTTGGTTACATAGAGTCCAAAGAGAAAGAAGATAGAGAGAGAGAGATTTTAGGGTTTTTTTTTTATTTTTTTATTTTTATGTAATTAATAATGGTATTATAAAAATATAATTGATTAATAAGTCTGTTATTTATTACTAGAGAGCTTTTTTTGTATAACAGGATGCAAAGCCAAGGAAAAGTGATCTTAAAAAACGCTGAAATCTTGAACCATTTGGTATCTATTTACAAAGCGGATGGAGAGAAGCTCATCAATGGCCAATTTGGACTTGTCTTGGAATCCATTCAGGTAAGCAGGTTTCCTAAGACTAGAAAAAGTAATAATTTTTATTTCTTAAGTTGTGACTTTGAAGTATATTTTTGTGTACTATGATGAATTATAGGAAGCCGTAATGATAGTTCCTCGAATTGCACTTGCTGTCCGACCAAGGCCCGGATTCACAGAATATATATGTCTGGATCTAAATGCACTCACTATTGAAGATATGAGCGTGCCCCAATATCTGCAGTTGAAGGAAAAACTCGTTGATGGATGGTAATTTGAATTTTGATGAAATTTAGTTTACCCTTTGTTGTTTCATGCATTAATTTTTATTTTAGGTTAGTTTCACTGATTCTTGCCATGCACCTTGAGTTTGAATTAGACTTTGAATCATTCAATTCATCGATTCCGCGTATTACTTTACCCTTTGTTGATTCAAATTAGTGTCACTGATTCTTGCAGTAGCAATGGCACCTTTGAGTTTGAATTGGACTTTGAATCATTCAATGCATCAATTCCTCACCCAAAGCTTTCAGAATCTATTGGACATGGTGTGGAGAATGTTAACCGCCACCTATCTTCAAAAATGTTCCATGACAAAGATATGAAGCAGCAACTGCTTGATTTTCTTCGTCTTCATAACTACATGGGCAAGGTAAATTTTGATTGTGGTCCTAATAATTTATGAGTACTCACTATAAAGATTTTTGTCTTCTAGATTGAAACTGAATGTATCTAAAATGAATGTCATACTTTGATGTTATTGTGCAGTCACTCATGGTAAATGATAGAATTCAGAACTTGGACCAACTTCAATCTGTTGTCAGAGAGGCGGTGGACTTTCTGTCTACCCTGCCTTTGGATACCCCATTTTCTGATTTTGAAGATAGATTCCAAGTGATTGGTCTGGAAAGGGGTTGGGGTAATAGTGCTGAATCAGTGTCAGACATGCTTAATCTGCTCTTACAACTCCTGGAGGCTCCTGACCATTGTGCTGTCGAGAAATTTCTCGGCACAGTCCCTATGGTTTTCAATGTTGTTATTCTCTCTCCCCATGGTTACTTTGCTCAAGACAATGTCTTGGGCTATCCTGATACTGGTGGCCAGGTATGTTAAAAGATTGATGAACAAAATGTTTTTTGTCCCTTAAATTGTTGTTTCAGCCACTCTAAATTTTTTACTATCTCTAACCTTGCCTCACAGGTTGTCTACATTTTGGATCAAGTTCCTGCCATGGAGCACGAGATGCTTCAACGGTTGAAAAAACAAGGACTTAATGATATCATCCCTAGGATTATCATTGTTAGTATTCAAGTTTTCTTTATGTTTCTTTTACCTTAGGTTATGTTTCTTTTACCTTAGGTTTGTGGTCCATTTGTTTTAGTGCTAATGCCTGATATTTCGTCATAGGTCACTCGCCTTCTGCCAGATGCAGTTGGCACCACGTGCAATCAACGCATTGAGAAAGTCTATGGAACAGAGCATTCATACATTCTGCGAGTTCCCTTTAGAACTGAGGAGGGAATTCTTCGCAAGTGGATCTCACGTTTTGAAGTGTGGCCATATATGGAGACTTTCACTGAGGATGTTGCAAATGAAATTCTTGGAGAGTTGCAGACAAAGCCAGACTTGATCATTGGCAACTATAGCGAGGGAAACCTTGTTGCCACCTTGCTAGCTCACAAATTTGGGTCAACGCAGGTACATTATTTTCTTTTAAAATATTCAATCATTTGCAACCATGTGATGTGGACCAAATATGTGTTACTTATATGAATATTCGACCTTTGCAGTGTACTATTGCTCATGCTTTGGAGAAAACTAAATATCCAAATTCTGATGTCTATTGGAAGAAATTTGAGGAGAAGTATCATTTCTCCTCCCAGTTTACTGCTGATCTTATTGCAATGAATCATACTGATTTCATTGTCACTAGCACTTTCCAGGAGATTGCTGGAAGGTCCCATTAATTCTTGTTAATCAGCAAATTATGTATATAATTAATTTGTTTTTCAATTATTTATTTTATAATGAGACCCCCTAAACTATTATTCTGATCTTTCCAGTAAGAACTCTTATGGACAGTATGAAAGTCATACAGCCTTTACCATGCCTGGATTGTACCGAGTTGTCCATGGGATTGATGCGTTCGACCCCAAATTCAACATTGTTGCACCAGGGGCTGATACGTCCCTCTACTTCTCTTACTCAGAGGAGAGTAGAAGACTTGTGAATTTCCACCCTGAAATTGAAGAGCTGCTATTTAGTGATGTTGAGAATGAAGAACATTTGTAAGTTTCTTTCTCTTTGCTATGTCAATGTCCTTTTATCAGTTGACTAAATAAATGATCACTGAAACATTAATGGTGGTGTATGCAGATGTGTATTGAAAGACAAAACCAAGCCCATTCTATTCACAATGGCAAGGCTGGATCGCGTGAAGAACTTGACTGGACTTGTTGAGATGTATGGTAAGAGTGCTCGGCTTAGGGAGTTGGTGAACCTGGTTGTTGTAGGAGGAGATCGTAGGAAGCAGTCGAAGGACTTGGAAGAGCAAGCAGAGATGAAGAAGATGTATGAGCTCATAGACACATACAAGTTGAATGGTCAGTTCAGATGGATTTCTTCCCAGATGAACCGGGAGAGGAATGGTGAACTGTACCGATACATTGCAGACAAGAGGGGAGCTTTCGTGCAGCCTGCTTTCTATGAGGCTTTCGGGCTGACAGTGGTGGAGTCCATGACCTGTGGCTTACCTACATTTGCTACATTGCATGGCGGTCCAGCTGAGATAATTGTTCATGGAAAGTCTGGCTTCCACATTGATCCATACCATGGTGATGAGGTTGCTCAAGTGCTAGTTAATTTCTTTGAAAAGTGCAGGGATGAACCTACTCATTGGGAAGCTATTTCTGTTGGAGGCCTTAACCGCATTATTGAGAAGTAAGTGTATATGCCATCCTTTATTTTGTTCATGAAATTTTTATTTGTCCTGGTAACTTATAAATCTCTGTTTTTGTAGATTTACATGGCAAATATACTCTGAGAGGGTGATCAATTTGGCTGGGGTATATGGATTTTGGAAGCATGTGTCTAAAAAAGATGAACGTGTGATTCAGAAACGTCGCTACATCGAAATGTTTCATGCTTTGATGTACCGTAAGTCGGTAAGCCCCTTCAGCCATGACCTACTAATTTTATTTTCGAAAATTTCTTGAAACTTTATGCTTATATTCCTGAATTTTTATTTCAGGCTGAATCTGTTCCGTTGGCCGTTGATGAGTAGTAGATAAAAGGTGATCAATTTGGCTGGGGTATATGGATTTTGGAAGCATGTGTCTAAAAAAGATGAACGTGTGATTCAGAAACGTCGCTACATCGAAATGTTTCATGCTTTGATGTACCGTAAGTCGGTAAGCCCCTTCAGCCATGACCTACTAATTTTATTTTCGAAAATTTCTTGAAACTTTATGCTTATATTCCTGAATTTTTATTTCAGGCTGAATCTGTTCCGTTGGCCGTTGATGAGTAGTAGATAAAAGGAAGAACCGTTGGCAGTGGCAGTTGATGAGCATGTGATAAAAGGAATTATCATGGGTGCCCTCAATTTTCCTTTTGGTTTTTTCTTTATCAATTTTCTCAAGAAATTTGTTTTGAATAGACTGATAGGTAGACAGTTACTTGTAGTGAATTTGGTTTTCATTGATGGTTTTAGCCATTTTTATTCTAGTAGATGGAAAATTGATAAATGTATGGCATTTGCTATTCCCGTGATAATAAATATCTATGTTAATCATGTTTTGTTTGTTTATGTAGATTGAATATTTCATTTATATATATATATATATCTACTAACTGTTATGCAAATTAATACATTATATACAACGCTTGGTGGTCTTTCTATACACCATATATGTAAATCTATATAGGCTGATTGCATTTTTTGACACTCATTCTTTTCACATGGGTGCAAGAGTGCAAACACATATCAATTAGCAAATCACTCCACAAAACACAAAGTCTTTATGATTTTTTTTCCACCAAATCTTCACCTTAATTTTAATTGGAATCTTATATATCTAAGATACTCATGTATTGTTCCTTTATATAGTTTTTTTTTAACATATTTTTCACTACGGCAACCCGCACACACACACACACACACACATATATATAAAAGCATTCGCAAATGCTTAAAGTAGTGTCTTCTTTTTTTTTTTTTAATTAATTTTGGAAATTGACTTCAATGCTTGATGCTTTTGTGGCATGATGGAAATGGGTTCGTTTGATTGGAATCTTATATTTTGATTTCTGGATTATTGCAACTCTTATAGTTTTTGCATTAAATTGGCAGGAAAACATCATTTTACTTGTAAGAAAATAGGGAGGAAACTATTGTTTTGAATTAAGCACTTAGCATTCTTTTCATATGGGTGCAAGAGTGACTTAAATTTGTATAAAATTTTATGTATGATCAGTTCAATTACTCATTCACAGACACATGCTTATGTATATGGCCCGTATGGTTGGTTTGGTTACAAGAGGCCACGGATGAGCTTGGGAATCACCCTGAGGTTCAACCTAACTCTGAAAACTTTCCCCAGAGCTCATATAAACATAAATTAAAGCATGAACCTCTGTTTATATTTAGTCATTTATTCTTTCCATTTCTTTTTCATAGAGTGGGGTGCCGTCAAACAAGTTCCTCTATTAGATTCTTAGATAAAAACTATTTCCTGGAACTCTATACATACACAAAGGTATCATGTAAAATTTTGCAAATATCCTTTCTTTGGCTTGCAGAAAAAGTTGGACTTTACGCTAAAAGTTACTGGAGGGGACATAAAAACAAGACCTGGCATTTCTGATGCTATTGAGGTTTGACCATCTATCTTTTAATGTGTCTTTGATTGACAGTTATGTATGACATGATTAATATAAATGGGTATCTCAAGTGTTTGTTTCTGTTTTTAAATAGTATGTCATAGCATTAGCTAATGATTCTGCATTTGGTTTGAATCAACTTTATTTATGATCCTGATGTTATCGGCACCAAATATAAGATTTTGTAGTGTTGTTAGAAACATGATATACTGCTATGGCAGGGTTCTAAACATGGCATTCGATTTTCTCCTCTCTTCTCACTAATGTGTAATTTTTATCATTTTCTGGCACCTTCATTCCAGAACCATTTTTTAGAGTCCTCTCCTAGATTATTGTTCAACATTATGTTCAAAAGTGATGAGACCTCGACTCATGTGTTTTTTTTTTTTTTTCATGGCCCCCTTTCCTACACTTTGTGGCAAAGGCTCTTTGCTCTCTCTTGGATTTTTACGTTGGGTTGCTTTTCAAGAAATTAACTCAATGCTCAAGATCTCTTTTTTGGGTTTTGGTAAAGAACAGAAAGCCAAAAAATTTCTCACTATTCTATAGTCATTTGCTGTGAGAGGAATGCTAATTATTATTTTTTTAAGACAAGCAGAGTGGCGAAGAGGATCTTTAGTGCAAGGTTGATTTCAAAGGGATGGCTTTGAGTTTAATTATGAGATATTGAGTTGCCAGGCTGAAGAGAAGGGTAGTACAAAGGGATTGGAGTCCCTGTTCTGAGGGGAGAATCAAATTTAATTTTAATGCATAGAAAAGGTCAACTTTGCACTAAAAACATCTTTAGAGATCACTTAGGCAATACTATTCTTTGTTTGTTTAAGATGGTGGGAACTAGGTTTGCTATAAAAACAAAGCTCCTCACTCTCGTTGAAGGCCTCTTTCGTGGGAATTCATCATTCCACAATTGAGGGCGATTTCATGGTGGTGGTTAGCTGGGTGAGATCTAAAATATGTACATTTATGTGCTTGCGAGTATTTGCTCACACATATGCTTACATGATTATCTCAACTTAACAAAACCCTGTCCCAACTATTTGGGATTGACTTCAACTCAACTCTGTGTTTACATGGTCATATAACACTTCAATTTCTAGTTTTGGACTCGTATTTAATTACCTTTTATGCATTTATGCAGGATATATTTGGTATGTGTATGTGTTATCTGGCAATTTGTATATTATTAGGATTTTACAGTCTAGTCTTAAAGAAGAGGTATATTATTTGTACAGGGGACTATACGGGATGCTATTGAAGATTCCATTACATGGTCAGTGCGGAAAGTTGTTCCCATTTTGCCTGGTGACTACAGGTATGGCAATAACAGAAGTTTTTATTTTTTATTTTATTATTATTATTATTTTTTTCCTGAATGGGGTGAAAATTTTATAAATGGAAAACTACAGTACAACAAATATAGAGGGGGCATTCCCGTCAATTACAATTCAAAATTAAGAAAAAGCCCACTTCCCGTAAGGGCCCAAATACACCAACATATAATATTGGAAAATTGTGTAAGCAAACACAATTGGTTTCCTGGTAGAGCCCCTGCTCCAGATGGTTTCCCAGCTTGATTTTTTCAAAAATATTGGAGTGATGTCATAGCTGCAGTGAGCCATTTCTTCACCTCTGGTAGCATGCCAAAGGGTGTGAATTCTACTTTCCTTGCCCTTATTCCTAAGGGATATTAGCAAATATAGACCTATTTCCCTGTGTAATTTTCTATATAAAATCTTTACCAAAATTGTTGCTTACAGACTAAGTTCTATCATTCCATCTCTGGTGGGATTAGAGCAATCTGGTTTTGTTAAGCGTCCCTGGCAACATTTTGCTAATCTCAGATTTGATTAGTGGGTTTGGAAGGAAGAGGGGTGATCCCTCTATGGCCTTGAAAGTTGATTTGTAGAAGGCATATGACACAGTTGATTGGGGGTTCCTAAAAAATTTGCTACTAGCATATGGTTTTGGGTCCAAATGGATTGATTGGATCATGTCTTGTGTCACCACTCCATCCTTCTCTATTTTATTCAATGGGGTCCTGCAGGCTACTTCTCTTCAAAGAGGGGATTGAGACAATGCTGCCTTTGAGTCCTTTGTTATTCTCTTTAGTCACTGAGTATTTCTCTGGCCTCATGTTGAACAAGATTAACTCTGGGCAATTACAATGTATTAATAGTGTTTCTAAAGCTGGGTTGAAATTACCTCATACTTTCTATGCAAATGACTTAATGATAGTGGTTAAAGCTGGTGTGTCCTCTGCTAGAGCATTGGCAGATGTCTTTGATGCTTTTGCCTCGTGTACTGGCCTGCAGGTAATTTCAGAAATTTTTATGGAGTGGGAAGACTGAGCTCAAGAAGATGTCACATGTGTCTTGGAAAAATGTCACTTTGCCTTTTAATGAAGGAGGTTTAAATATCAGGAAAGTCCAGGATCTGGACTGTGCTTCTAAAATATCTCTTTGTTGGGATATGTTGCAGCAGAAGGACAAACTATGGGTGCAGTGGTTTCATTCTAAATATTTGGCCAAGGCTTCTTTCTGGACAGTGATCCCTAAGGCTGTTCACCTCTGTGGAAACATATGATTGCAGCTAAAGATATTATTTTGACTCATTGTACTTTTAAAGTGGGATGTGGTGATAGATTGATGCTTTTGTCTGATCCTTGGTGCCATGGTAATTCATTGATTCAAAGCTTTTGGAGCTACTGGGTTCAGAAGTCTGAATCATTATGCTCCTGTGTCTTCCATCATAGAATCTGGTCAGTGGAAACTTGAAGTCTTTCTGATTTAAAGATGACATTGTTGTTGTGCCAATAGCTGCCGAATCTGATGTTATTATTTGGAAGCATGGTCAGTTCTCTCTGAAATCTGCTTGGAATGTCTGTAGAAAGCAATCTGTGGTTTTAGATTGGACTACTCTATGCAGGAAATACTGTTGTCCAAGGGTCTCTGTGGTTGTATCTTTGATTTTACGGAACAGGAATCTGACTTTTGTGCACCTGCAGGAACCTTGACATCTATATGTCATAACTGTTTTGCTGGTTTAGACGAGAATGATAATAACAGAAGATATAGTTCCCAAAAATGACAAAATGCTCAACCACCAGGCATAATCTTCTGTTATTGCCTGTTGGACATACACAGCAATAACAGAAGATTTAGTTTTAATATTCCAACAGGCTTCAGCTTTTGCTGTGATAAACATACGCCCCCTACGTGATAGAATGGAAACCAGCAAAGTAGTTGTAAGTTAATCTTTCTCTTTGGAGGGGTTCCTGTCATCCTTCTGATCGGTTTAAATAACTGTGCATTTCTTTTTTCATTGGTTGCGCTCAAATGCAGCTGAAACATCTAGAGCATGGTAAAGGAAGATTTGGAGGTGCAGAGAGATAATAAAAACCAGTTGAGAATTTTGTTTTGAATGAATTTATTATCTGATTCAAGTTTGAGAAAATCCAATGCTTAATTGGAGACTGCATATAAGTAAGAATATTTTTTATTTTTTATTTTTTTTTTTATGTAACCAAACAGCTGTATAACAGTTTTTATGTCACTGAAAATGCTAAAGATCTTCATTGATATATGAAACTTCCTTCCTTGTTATCTTTTGTGTTTACAAAATCTGTAATATCACATTCCCATTCTCATGAGCAATTATGAGAAAATAAAGGTTAATAAGTTGATCTTAGACGCGGATGAATGAGAAGTTGTCATGTTGTGTGGCTTAGATATCTGGTTTTTTCTTTCCCCCGTGCCAGTGCCTCCGGTGGTTGTGTGGAATGACAAGTGGACATGGCAAGACATTTGTCATTACTTGTATAGTATTAAAAACGAATATAATATATATGTATAATATTATTAATATAAAATATAATATATTATACATATAAATAATATATATTTCAATATATAGGTTAGATGAAAGAACTGTGCCATATGCATTATTTTATGCCATGGTGATACCTTGGATTGGGTATGCATGCATCTGTTGCAATCAGGGAATGTGGATTACAACATCCAGAATTATGCTCAAAATGCCCCCTTAGTCCCAATGTAGTGGCACAAGTTCAATTTTAACATGTTGTAATTGATATAATTTTCGGTGTAATTAACATTTTAAAAGACATAATTCGTCACTAAAAGATGGTTGTATAACCAAATGTAGACATTACTGAGTTGTTGTTGCCAATCAAAAGGAAAAGTTAAAGAATCGTAGTTGTGAATGTTTCAGCCGAGTGGACAGAATTGTACTAATGAATTTGTACAAGTTTTTTTTTTTTAACTCAGAAAAAAAAAAAAATTAACAGTATTAGCCCACCCCACTAGCCCACCCAAACAAGCACAAATCAGCTAAGCCACAGTACTAAAATATAGGCCCAAACCAAATAAGTCCAGACAAGCCCTAATACATGAGAGCCTATCATTTCGATGTGCGAGTGCCGCGGCAGATTTACACTGAAGGCTTGGAGCTGAAGCATTTGCCACTGGCCGAGACCACCACGTCCACCACCTTCCCGATTGACATTACCAAGACAGCAAGACGAGGGTTCAGGCTGTTCAATTCCACCGTGAACCACTGTTCTCCTCCCGTCCTTCGCGTTTCGAGTCGCCGCCGAGATCGTACGCACGTGGGCACGGCGAAGGCCTTCTCGGCCTCTACAAGGGCGTTTCTCGGTTTCTGCCTTTCTGGTCATTGCTCAGGTACCGTATTTCATATCCATTTCCCAAATTTCACTCCGCTTTCAATAATTTTAATTATTTACATGAATATATACATACACAATGATATATATCAACTGTACAGTCTATACCTGGATATCAATGAATTCTGAGGTTGAAAATTTGTGAAATAAGGCTATATATATTTAAAAACTCATAGATAAATGGTTATAACAATTTATTTATTTATTATTTTTTTAAAGTTAGTTCCAAAATTATTTGAATTTCTTTTTATTAGGCTTCGTTTTTATTAGTTACACAAAATCCAAATAAATTGTGAACTATATTATATAGGAAACATAAATTCAATGATCTTAATATTAATAATCAATTTGGATCATCTTTATAAACAAATTCCCAGATTTTGATTTGCAATTGAAATTTATTTTAAATTCAAATAACAAACAAAGCAGGCAGACTGGTGAGCTTCCTCTTATACTGTTATACAAGAGTTTAATAGCACTCAGTATGTGAACACTGAATTTCTATGCCTTAATCAGTCAATTATCTGAAGAAACATTGCTAATTAAGTAAAATTGAATTAAACAGCAGTTGGTTTTGTTTGGTCAAGATGTTAAAACATTGAAGTTTCAGTTGATGCATTATCAACTTGATGTACCTAATAATCCCGAGTTTCAGAATATTTCTTCTCTTACTGATTTATGTTGGCAACTAGTTGTAAGAAGGAAGGTCGAGGACTACCCTTTGGTTGACAGATTGATCTGTCTTATGTTGACTCGTCCTGTTTCTACAACAACTACGGAGAGGGCATTTTCAGGTATGAGACTTGTTAAATCAGCGATGCGTGGTAGAATTGGAGATGAATTTCTTGCTGATTGCATGACCATACACCTTGAACTGGAACTTGTTTGAAAAATTGACTTGGAGTCTATTATTAACGAATTCGAGTCTTGAAAGACTCGTTGCGCACGACACGAGATAACTCTTCTCCATTGTCGATCACGCTCTTTACTGAACCTCCATAACCACTTCCCCAATAAGGCTCTATTAGAAGGGACCAACTTCCGGATACCTAACCCGCCAAACTTCAATGGTTTGCAAACCTGCTCCCAATTAACAAGATGATACTTAAACTCCTCTCCTTTTCCACCCCAAAGAAAATCTCTCTGAATTTTTTCAATTCGTTCAGCAACAAAGCACGGGATTTGAAACAGAGATAAGAAATATGTGGGAACGGACGAGAGGGTGCTCTTAATAAGAGTGACCTTCCCTCCTTTCGAAAGAAACTGTTTTTTCCATCCCGCTAATATTTTTTCATACTTGTTAATTACCGGATCCCAAGTCCCTACTCTACTGGAGGAGATTCCCAAAGGTAATCCCAGATAAGGGAGTGGAAAAGCACCCACTCCACACCCAAGAACAGCAGCTAAAGAGGAAATATCAGAAACCTCCCCCTTGGACAAGCACACTCTTTCCAACATTAATCTTAAGACCAGGCACTGCTTGGAAGCATGTAAGAATGCACCTCAAATACCTAAGTTGGGAAACATCAACATCACAGAAAACCAAGGTATCATCTGCAAACAACAAATGGGATATCTCATTCTGGTTAGCAGCATCTCTGCCAACAGTGAACCCCCTTATGTACCCTAAATCCTCTACCTTTTTCATTAATCTACTCAATCCCTCCATGACAATAAGGAAAAGAAAAGACGACAAAGGATCTCCTTGTCTCAAACCACGTGAGCTCGGAAAAAAACCAGCAGTAGAGCCATTCACAAGCACAGAGAACATAACTGACGAGATACAAGATTCAATCCATTTTATCCATCGATTCCCATACCCCATTCTCCGAAGCAAGTAAAGAAGAAATTTCCAATTCACGTTATCATAAGCTTTCTCGATGTTAAGTTTGCATAATACACCAGGAACTTCACTCTTCAACCTAGAGTCGACACATTCTCCTGCGATAAGAACGGAGCCTAAAATCTGTCTACCACCAACAAAAACATTTTGTGACTCTGAGATAATTCCATCCAAAACATTTCGCATTCTAAGAACAAGGACCTTGGCAATAAGCTTATATATACACCCCACTAGACTGATTGGCCGGAAGTCCTTAATGTCAGAGGCGTTGCTCTTCTTTGGAATAAAAGCAATGAACGGTGCATTTAATGATTTCTCAAATGTGCCATGAGAATGAAATTCCTGAAAAGTGCCTATTACCTCATTACGCACCACCTCCCAACTCTCTTTCAGAAACCGCATAGTGAATCCGTCTGGTCTCGAAGCTTTATCACCATTACAACTGGATAACGCCTTGAGAACTTCCTCTTCAGAGAACGGAACCTCAAGCATATCACTATCCAACGAAGAAATAGCATCGAAATGCAAACCATCAGGTTTTGGTCTCCATTCCAAAGTCTCGGTATAGAGCTGCTGATAAAAAGAAACAATACCCTCATGCACCTCATCTTCTTTCCGCAATTCTAAACCATTCACACGAATACGCCCAATGTTATTGTATCTTCTATGAGCGTTAGCAAGCCTGTGAAAAAATTTAGTATTGCGGTCACCTTCTTTAAGCCACTGTTGTTTACCATGAGAGATAGAGAGAACAGATCTGTATATATTTCACCTACACGCACCAAATAAGCCTATATAGGCTTATATAAGGGATACAAGTCTCCTTAATAACACAAGGGCCTACTAATATAATGTAATTACATAATGGCCCAACATATATATATATATAACATTCTAACACTCCCCCTCAAGCTGGAGAATATATATCAAATAATCCTAGCTTGGAACAGATAGTTCTTAACCGGTTATGACCCAATGCTTTGGTAAACATATCAGCTAATTGATCTTCAGACTTCACGAATGGAGTAGAGATGCTCCTAAGCAATATCTTTTCTCGAATGAAGTGATAATCAACTTCAATATGTTTGGTCCTCTCATGAAACACAGGATTTGAGGCAATGTGAACTGCTGCTTGATTATCACAGAACAATGGAGTAGGAACTTCAACTGTTAACCCAAGTTCTTTTAGAAAATGTTGTATCCAGGTCAACTCACTAGTAGTATGAGCCATTGCCCTATACTCAGCTTCAGCACTAGATCGAGCTACCACCGTTTGCTTTTTACTTCGCCATGTAACAAGATTGCCTCCTACAAATGTGCAGTAGCCTGTAGTAGATCTCCTATCTGAAGGAGAACCAGCCCAATCGGCATCTGTAAAACCTTCCACCCTGAGATGACCATTTGATTTATATAGTAACCCAACACCTGGAGCTTGCTTGAGATATCGGATAATCCGAAGAACAGCAATCCAATGTGGCATTCTAGGAGCTCCCATAAACTGACTTACAACACTAACTGCATATGAAATATCAGGTCGAGTGATAGTGAGATAAATTAATTTCCCAACTAGACGACGAAATCTGCCCGGATCATTAAATAGATCACCCTCATCAGACACAAGTTTTGTATTCGAATCCATAGGAGCATCAACCGGGCGACCACCCAACATACCTGTTTCTTCTAATAAATCCAACACATATTTTCGTTGTGATAAACTTATACCCTTCTTGGATCTAGCAACTTCAATACCCAAGAAATACCTAAGTTTACCCAAGTCTTTAGTGTGGAATCGATATTGCAGAAACAACTTCAACTTAGCAATGCCTTCAGAATCATCACCTGTGATCACAATATCATCTACATATACAACAAGAAAGATGAAGCCAGCTTTAGTGCGCTGGTGAAATACCGAATGGTCAGTCTGACATCTGTTAAGACCAAATTTGAATGCTGCCTCAGAGAATTTTCCAAACCAAGCCCGTGGAGATTGTTTCAATCCATATAGGGCCTTTTTAAGGCGACAAACAGTGTGAAGAGACTCCCCCTGAGCAACAAACCCAGGTGGTTGCTCCATATAAACCTCTTCGACTAAGTCACCATGCAAAAAAGCATTTTTAACGTCTAACTGAAACAGAGGCCAATGTCTATTAGCAGCAAGAGAAATCAAAACACGAATAGAAGAAATCTTAGCAACAGGGGCAAACGTCTCATCATAGTCAATACCATAAGTCTGGGTATAACCTTTGGCAACAAGACGAGCTTTTAACCGCTCAACGGAACCATCTGGAAGATACTTCACGGTGTAGACCCAGCGACAACCAACTGGTTTGACACCTGGAGATAAAGGAACAAGATTCCACGTGTCATTCTGATGCAAAGCATCAATTTCATCTTGCATGGCTTTCCTCCAGCCCGAATCAGACAAAGCATCCTGCACAGTCTTAGGAACAAATGTAGTAGACAATTGAGAGGAAAAACATGAGAAAGATGGCGATAAGGAATTATAAGAGACATACTGAGCAATGGGATGTTTAGTAACACAGGAGCGAGGAGCCTTACGTAGTGCAATAGGCAAGGATTCAGACACAGTGGAAGGTGTTGGATCCAAAGACTCTGAAGACGACGGAGGAGGCACGACATCAGATGGCTTTGGTCTTCGAGTGTACACCTGTAACGGGGCAGGCAAAGGAGATCTAGGCTAAAGAGAAAGTGAGGGAAGTGGAACCGCAGGAAGAAGCGACTCAGAAGTAATATCAAGAATTGAATCACTATCTGAAAAATATGGGACGGACTCACAAAAGGTCACATCCATGCTAATAAAGTACCGTTGAGAAACAGGACTATAACAACGATAACCTTTATGAGAACGAGAGTATCCAAGAAATACACACTTTGTGGCACGTGGGTCAAGTTTATCAAAACCAGGACCAAGATTGTGGACATAACAGACACAGCCAAAAACTCGAGGAGTAAGAGAAAACAAAGGAGAATCAGGAAATAAAATAGAATGTGGAGATTTGCCATGTAATACAGATGACGGCATACGGTTAATAAGATGACAGGCAGTAAGAACAGCATCACCCCAAAACCGTTTAGGCATGCACATATGAAACAAAAGAGCACGGGTTACTTCTAAGAGGTGTCGATTCTTACATTCTGCAACTCCATTTTGTTGAGGAGTATAAACACATGAATTTTGATGAATAATTCCTTTATCACTAAGATAGGTATCAAAAGGGGTTGCAGAATATTCCTTAGCATTATCGGAACGTAAAATACGAATGGGACAGCCAAACTGAGTTTTAATTTCTTTTCGAAATTTTTGAAAAATTAAAAATAATTCAGAACGATCTTTCATTAAAAACAACTAAGTCAGGCGAGAATAATCATCCACAAATGTCACAAAATAATGAAATTTATTGATTGAAGAATGCTTTATTGGACCCCATACATCTGAATGAACCAAATGAAAAGGACTAGAGACACGATTATTAACCCTAGACTTGAAAGACACACGATGGTGCTTACTAAGTTGACAAACCTCACATGACAAGAATTTCAAATTACTAAGACTAGGAACTTGACGCTGCAAAACTTAAAGTGACGAGTGTCCAAGACGACAGTGCCACTGGAATGGAGACAGAGAAGACTGAAGAGCCACAAGATAAGGTGCCACATCAAAGTAATATAAGCCACCAGCTTCATTCCCCGTACCAATCGTCTTCTTCGTCTTGAGATCCTGAAACACACAAAAAGTAGGATAAAATGTAACAGAGCACTGAAGAGATTTAGTAAGCTTACTGACAGACATTAAATTAAAGGGAAACTGAGGAACATATAAAACAGATGAGAGAGGCAAAGAATCACTAAGTTGAGTTGTCCCCAAACCTGAAACCTTAGCGGAGGAACTGTTAGCAAGGGTAACTCTTTGAGAAGGAGGTACAGAATTAAAATCAGATAGAAGAGAAGAACATCCAGTCATATGATCGGATGCTCCAGTGTCTATGATCCAAGGACTGTGAGTGGAAGACAATAGACATGTGGGTGCAGTACCTGACTGGGCAAAGGTAGCTGTGGAAGATGAATTAGATGCTTGCTTATAAGACAAAAACTGAGTATACTCATCACGTGAGACAGGGACCGTATCTGATTCAACTACATTATGAGATCCAGAAGCAACATCATTCGGAGAGGAGGAAACTTGATTTGCATAACTAGATGGTTTCCCATGAAGGTCCCAACAAAAATTCACAGTATGATTAGAAAGACCACAATGAGTACATTTTCGTGATTCCCTGCCACGGCCACGTCCTCCCCGTGAATCACGACCGCCACGTGTGGAGCGTCCCCCACGACCTCCACGGAAAACAGTATTTTCACCCTTTGAAACAATCAATGCTGAACGTTCACCACTCTGCCCAGTATTCAAAGTGGAGGTATCACTGACAAGTGTAGCGCGTTGAAGTCTAGAAAACACATCAGCAAGAGATGGAAGTGTGGGACTGCCCATAATCTGTGAACGAAAAGACTCATAAACTGAGGACAAACCAGTAAGAAAACGAACAACATTAAAGTCCTCACGTTGTTGTTGCATACTGCGAACATCAGCAGTAATGGGCTGATACATATTCAGCTCCTCACAAATGCCCATAACTTTGGAATAATACTCTTCTATACTGTGACTACCTTGTTCAAGGTGAAAATACTGCTTACAAAGCTCATAAACACGAGTGATATTACCTGTCCCAGAATACAGTTGCTGCAATCTGTCCCATATCTCCTTTGCAGTATCTAAATAAAGTAAAGTTGTACTAATTTGGGGTTCAATACTGTTTATCATCACAGAAATGATCTGAGCATCTTCCTTTTCCTATGCATCAAAAGAAACATCAGTTTCCTTGAGTTTCTCTTTAGTCAGATGATTACCAAGGCCTCTACCTTTGAGAAAAATTTTAACTGATTTAGCCCACAGTATATAATTCTTCCCATTGAGTTTAACAGAAGTCATGGAAGAATGAAGGCCAGAAGTGGGAGAAAACAAATCTGAAGTGGAGGCCATGTCTTACCCAGCAAAACAGAGAAGAAAATATGAAGCAGAATTGGTATTCGGGCCGAAACTGGGCAAACGGGTCGGATCCGAGAACAAGTCGGATCTAGGCAAACGGGTCGGATCTGTACGAGCGGGTCGGATCCGGATTGCGGGTCGGATCTGGACAAACGGATCGGACTCCCGGGTTTACGAAACCAGGGTTGGAATAACTATCCCAGGTTTAGTAAACCAGGGTTGGAATAGCCTCACTCCTGCAGCCAAACACCACCCTTCTCCTTCACAATCAGCACCGGCGAGAACCAGAACGCTGCCACCGACAAGAAATTTCAGCACCCGAGATTCGCAATGGAAAAACAAGGCTAGTACACACCCTAGCCCTTGCAGCGGTGACGACAACCCAACAACAACAAAAAAAAAAACAGCGATCTAACAACGGAGCGGAGAGGGATCGCGATGATGGAGCTTTTGCAACTTGCGACAGCCAAGGAAGCCTCGACCAGCAAAACGAAAGGCGTCAGATTTGAGAACGACGAACAAATCTTCAGCGAGTCAGATCTGAGAACGACGAACAAATCTTCAGCGAAGAACAGAGTTGGCTTCGATCTTGATTTTGATTTGTAGAAGAACAACCCAACCCAGATGCAATCACAGCTACAACCCGCTCTGATACCATGTTGTTTACCATGAGAGATAGAGAGAACAGAGAGAACAGAGAGAACAGATCTGTATATATTTCACCTACACGCACCAAATAAGCCTATATAGGCTTATATAAGGGATACAAGTCTCCTTAATAACACAAGGGCCTACTAATATAATGTAATTACATAATGGCCCAACATATATATATATATAACATTCTAACAGCCACAAAGCCTGAGATTTCTGACGCCACGAAATATCCTCCATAGTAGCAATCTCAGCAAAAGTCGCCTGACAAGACACTCTTCTAGAGCGTAGAGATTCTGTCACATGCCCTATCTCATCAAGACGATCAATCTCAGCAATATCAACCAGGACTCTATTTTTCTGCCATTCAAGATTCCCAAACACATCTTTGTTCCACTTCTTAAGCTCAGAAGTTTGCGTGTTTTTGGACCTGTTGTATAGACAGAAGGATGTTGGCAGAGGTTGTGTTGATCTTTTGTGGACCCCCTCTCTTTATGGTAGATACGAAGTTCGATCCATGTTCTTGTGTTTGTCTAATTTTATTGGACATAATTTCCCATGGAAGTGTATTTGGCGCTCTAAAGCTCTTATTAGAGTTGCCTTCTTTGTTTGGACCGCTACTTGGGGAAAAATTCTAATATTGGATAATCTGCGTAAGAGAGGTAATACCATTGTTAATTGGTGCTGTCTCTGTAAAGCTGATGGTGAGTCCATGGACCATCTTCTTTTGCATTGTCCTATTGCATCTGATTGTTGGAATCTCATATTCAGTATTTTTGGCGTTCAGTGGGTAATGCCTGAGCACTCTTTCCAATTAATTAACGCTTGGAGAAACTGCCCTGTTTTTGGTCATGCTCGTGATTGTTGGAGGGTCGCCCCACATTGTGTTTGGTGATGTATTTGGAGAGAGCGTAATAACAGAAACTTTGAAGTGAAGGGATCGTCTTTTGCAAACCTTAAGTCTCTTATTCTTCGCTCTCTTTTCTATTATGTTAGAGGCAGCGCTTGCTCCTTGATTGATGATTTTTTTGTTCTATTGGACTCTGTTGGTTTGTAGGTTTGGCTTTTGCTCTTTCGTTTTTGTGTATTAGGGACACGTTCCCCTTTTGAAAGACTTGTTGAGCACAACTTAGATAGATCTTTTCTAATCTTTGAATTCAAACATTTATCTATATTATGTTATAGAACATTTTTTTTTTTGCTTAAGAAATTGTGTTATTAAATTTATGTTTAATATTAGCCCACTTCATTGATAATTCCTGGATCCGCCCTTGCTTCAGTCAATCTCTGCAATATCTGACATGGACTTGTTCTTTCCCCATTTCGAATTTCCAATCACTGTCTTGTTCCACCTCTGACATCTTCTGAATTTCCGTAAATGGAACAACTTAACTAAACCTATAGTTTGTCAAGCTTTATTACAACTAATTTCTTGCCTTTTGCTGCATGCAACACGCTTATTCTTTGCCCTTTATTACACCTACAATCCATGTTCTACTTAGCCCTCCTTTTGTATTTCATTTACATGTTCAATTTGAACAAATACTTTTCAAAAAAAATTTAAAATGTTCAATTTGAATAAATCATTCCTTTAACGGCATTAACCATAGTTTGGCTTGGATGATTGAGGCTGTGTGATCTAACTAGTTTGGCTGAATTGGGTTCTAATATATAGTTTGGTATTATCTAGTATACTATTTATTGCTCATGTATGTTTTGTGCTTGTATATACATAATCTATAAAGTTGCATATTAGATACTTTTACACATGTATAAAAACACATATATTTGCCTCTCTTTTTTTTTTTGGGTCAACAAACTTTTATCTCAATTTTATACTTGTAAGTGTAGAAAATTATCGAACTCATATAAAAATTCTATTAAATCTCTATTTAGAGGAATTTATATGGATTGCTCATAATTTTTTTTTTTCCTATCCAATACTTAGACATCCACTTTGCAAGACTTGAACCTCCAACCTTCTGCTTTGGAAGAGGATGAAGTACCACTAGGCCACAATCCTTGGTCATAAAAATTCTATTAGCTCTCTATTTAGAGTAATTTGTATGAAATACTCATGGTTACTAAAAAAAATCCACTTGGATCTCCTAAGGTATGTCTAACTGCCATTTATTTTCTTTTGCAGAGGGTTTAAGTTAGTTGATGCTTTAAGGACTACTTTGTTGTTATCCCTTTTAGTCAGAAATGGGTTCTACTTTGTGCTCATCACCTTCTGAGATCACTTTTCAATTCTCTTTGAGTTTGAGAAGCAACATGAATTTGCTAGGCTCCAAACCTATTATGAAGGTTGGTAACTTCGTTAAAAAGGACAATTTTCAAGTCCTTAATCATGCTGCTAGAAAAGTGGTGATATCTAGCCATTTGGTGCCTGAACACTTGGAAGGATTTTATACGGGAAAGAAGCGGCTGGTGGAGCCAAGTCAAAAGTTGGAATTCGTGCGGACTTTGTTGATTGACAACTATGACAGTTACACGTACAATATATACCAGGAGTTGTCTATCATTAACGGGTGTAAGTTTTTTATGTTTGTTCGTGCGTGTGTTTCCATGCACAACTAGGAACTCATAATCACTCTTCTAATTTTTTTTTTTCTTTCTTTCTTTTGTTCATATTCTAATGTTCTATTTTTGTTCTTAATCTTAAATGTGCAGCTTGACTCTTTGTAATTTTATTTTCCTGGGTTAGGTGGAAAAATAATAATATGAACAATATGGGTCCAAAAAAGACAAGGCATACCCTTGTTAAATAAAACTACTGCAATAGGTCAAAAGACCCCAAACCAAAACATAAAAGTAGAACAAATGAAGCCACAGAACAAAATAAGTCCCACGGTGCAACCCTAAATGAACTGACACAGCAGCAAGGGTGCCCAAGAGTCGAGATATCCCAAGACAAACCAGATAACTGTAGCAACAAAACCAAATACCAAGCCAGCTACACAACCCTAGAGCATCTCCAACTCATTACACCAGCAAACAAATGCAGCAGAATGACAAAGCAGATGAAAGCAGCAGTAGCCAGAGCAACATGAGCATACCTCAAGGCCTATCAAGATGACAAAGCAACTAGAACAACAAAGACTAAATCCCAGAACCGCAGAACTACACTGCAACAACAATACCATCTCCACCAAGCATAAGTAACAATGGCAGCCATAACAATGACTGATTACACAGTGCAGGATAGTGAAAACAGCAGAAGCATGATTAGCACAAGAAGGTCCAAAGCCCAAAACAACAAAACAAAATTGCAGTTGACCAAGAAGGCATTAACCCAACACAACAACAAAAAATAAATAGACAACCAAAACCCATATCAGCAACCTGTAGCAACTACACAATATCAAACAATGATAAGTTAGATAACTCTAGAACCTTCCACCACACGAATCTAATTCTTTGCAACTTTAGTGTTAATCATCTTATTTTTTGTGTGTCCATAAGCAGATTATTATCAAATATTTGGTCATGACATGCTTGTATCCTTGTTCAACCTATTTGGTGACATTCATGTCAACTTTGATTCTACTAAAATTAGAAAAATTCTCAATTGTAAAAAGTCAGAAGATGGAATATTAGAATTAGAAGGAAATATATGAAATAAAAAACACGAAGGTGGGTAACCCTGTGATCATACGGTGTGTTGCTTCTTGAGCCTTTTGTCACCTCCAAATCTTTCCTAGCAACTTTCGGGGTTGCGCTGGATGTATGGTTGGTTGTTTGCAAATAATGAAATTCAATATATTGCATAGTATTTTAAAAAAATAAGTCCTGTAGAGGGTTTTTGACCTAAAATGGCATGTCCATGGATCTCTGTCTATTTTCAAACTTCACTTTTTATATGCTCTTCTCTTTGTTATTTATTTATTTATTTTATTTTTGATAAGTAAAATTCATCAAAGGTGCTCAAAAGGGGAGCATTCCCAAAGAACAAAAGGCGCCCAAGGTGACACTACAATTTCAAGCTATCTACAAAAGCCAAAAGAATATCCAATGATATACAGTTTCACCCATTAACCCCAAAAAAGAGAGAAGACAGTATATTGAATTTGAGAAACCAAATAGGGGACTCCTCGACCTCAAAGGATCTCCTATTCCTCTCACACCACAAACCCCACCATAAACAAAGGAGAGTGACCCTCCAAACGTTTTTGACTCGGCTCTCCGCTCTACACTCTTTCCAAGCCTCTAACATATCCACTGTGGACCCCGAAACAACCCAATCTGCACCAAAAATGACCAAGAACATAGACCAAACATCCCTTGCCACCAGGCAGTGCAGCAAAAGATGATTCACAAATTCTCCTGACTTCTTGCACATGCAAACACCAATTCTCTCTCTCTTTTTTTTTTTTTTGATAAGTAAGACCAATATCATAAAAGTTGCTCAGAAGGGGAGCGCTCCCAAGGAAACAAAAGCCGTCCAAGACGACACTATAACTTAAGACTATCCAAAAAATCCAAAAGACTATCCATAGAGTTACAAACTCGCCCATTAACCCAAGAGAATAAGGAAGATAGAATACTGTATTTAAGAGACCAAATAGGAGACTCCTTTCCCTCAAAGGATCTCCTATTCCTCTCATGCCACATACCCCACCAAATACAAAGGGAAGTAGCCTTCCAAACATCTCTAACTCGGCTCTCCACTATACACCCTTTCCAAGCCTCTAACATGTCCACCGTGGAAAATGGAAACACCCATGGAAGACCAAAAGCCACCAAAAACATAGACCAAACATCCCTTGCCACCAAACAATGAAGGAGAGGTGGTTCGCGGATTCACCCGACTTCTTACACTTGTAGCACCAATTGACCGCAATGAGACGTCAAATTGATTTGACGCCTGCTTCTGAGGTTGTCAAGAGTAAGAATGCTTCCAGTGGCAAGAGTCCAAGCGAAGAAAGCCACCAAATACAAAGGGGAGTAGCCCTCCAAACATCTCTAACTCGGCTCTCTACTATACACCCTTTTCAAGCCTCTAACATGTCCACCGTGGAAAATGGAAGCACCCATGGAAGACCAAAAGCCACCAAAAACATAGACCAAACATCCCCTGCCACCAAACAATGAAGGAGAAGGTGGTTGGCGGATTCACCTGACTTCTTACACTTGTAGCACCAATTGACCGCAATGTGACGTCAAATTGTGGTGAATTGGTATTGTTGTACACCAATTCACCACAATTTGACGTCTGCTTCTGAGGTTGTCGAGAGTGAGAATGCTTCCAATGGCAAGAGTCCAAGCGAAGAAAGCCACCTTCAACGGGGCTTTAGTCTTCCTGAATACTGGTGTCTAAGTAAAGGTCATATAATGTCCATTACAATGAGCTCCATTTAAGTAAGCTTGATACAGATCTTGTATCCTCCATGTTACATCTATGTAGGAGCATGAGACATATTTTAGGGTTGGCTGTCTGGGAGAGTCTTGACTCGGGACAACCTTAGGAGGAGACGGCAAATTGTGGTGAATTGTTGTTGTATGTGCAAAAAGGAGTCGGTGAATCACCTCCTTTTGCACTATCCAATGGCGAGGGATGTTTAATCTATATGTTGGCTATTTTTGGCATGCATTGGGTGTCTCTCGGCTTGACGGTAGACATGATCGAGGCTTGAAGAGGGTGTATTGTGGGTAGCCAAGTCTGAGATGCTTGGAGCCACTCCCCTTTCTTTATGGTGGGGCTTGTTGAGAGAAAAATGGCGGTCCTTCGATAGGAAAGAAACCCCTATTTGGTCTCTCAAATGCGTCATTTTGAGTTCTTTATTCTTTTGGGTAAATGGGCAAAATTGTAAATATGTGGGGGTGTTTTTGTGGATTTTGTTGATAGTCTAAGTTTGTGGATGGCCAAGTTAGGCCTTCTGTGTATTTCCTTGGGACCGCTCCCTTTTGGGCGTCTTAAATGATATTTTACTTATAAAATTTTAGGGCTGGATGAGGATTGATCTGTGTAGGCTGATCTGTGTTGCAAAACATCGTAATAACCTTACTTTTAGAGTTTAGTTGTTTGTGATTCATTAGTGGATTAATTTGCACTTCTTTGTTGATTTTGTTCCACAGCATTGAGAAATAGGTATCTGATGTTTTAACTGAACTTTGATGAAACCTAAGTCATTTTGCAAGTGGAATTAATTGGCTGACCTATCGAATATTGTTATTGAGAAAAAACATTGTTTAAAAAATGTAGTGTCTAGTGGAAATGAGGGTGCTAAGATGAATGAGTAGTAATGAAACTGTGAGAAGTTAGATGTGAAACATGTCTAACAAAAGCTCATGGCAAGTTGTCTAGGATTGTTTTGCCGCATGCAAGATAAAAAAACTATGATAGGGGCACTTTTTGTTGACACAAGTTAAAGGCATCAATAAGGCAAGAGGAAGGCCAGAATGAACAGGAGTTGTAATAAGAATCTTCTAAGATTCTATGGAGGATATGGCTCTAGAAGTAGTTGAACATAAATAGATAATTTATATAGTCAACTCCAAGTAATTGGGCTTCACTCTTTGTTGAGTCGATTATCTGTGTATTTTAACGTTGCTGCCATGCTTATCAAATGATGTTTGTTTCAGTCAATCATATCGAGATATTTGGTATTGCTCACAGTGCGGTGATAACATATATTTCCAAGAAAAATGCTAACATCAAATAACTGAAACTGCATCCTCAAATGGTGATTTCATGATGCACTTAAACATACATTGTATTGGTTAAAGCCCGACGCTGGGTGGTGACTAGCCCACTACATTGTACTGGATTAGTTTATGATGCAAAAGGACACTTTATGTGCCACCTTAGTTTTTTAGTTATTGACCTGATAGCTTCATGAGATATTTCTTGATGAAAGAGATTTTGGAACAGTAAAAGGCACTGGTATATGCCTCTCTTCAAGCTATTTATTTCCTTTTCATAGGCTTGCATGAAGTTGTATCAGCAATAGGCATCACAGTACTATAAGCTATCATAGGATTTTGAGAGATTCCATGCGAGAAGTTAGTTAATTTGTGTGGCAAATATGACAATATCACTGCAAACAAACATTACTGATTTACACACATTAGAATAAATAGTAGAATTTAATTGGAGACTGCAAAAGAGTAATATTTTTTCTTTTTATATTTTATATTTTTATTTTATTATTATTATTTTTTACCGAATATCTGTAGAACAGTTTTATGTCACTGAAAAATGGTAAAGATCTTCATGGAAATATTATGTGGTAGATTGGATTTGTGAAAATTAAATTTCCTTCTTTGTTATCTTTTGTGTTGACAAATTCTGTAATATTGCATTCCCAATCTCATGAGTCTTCCATTACGAGAAAATAAGGTTAATAAGTTGATCTTGGACACTGGATGAATGAGAAGTTGTCTTGTATGGTGTATTTCTCTTCTTTGATATCTGTTTTTTATTTTTTCCTTTGCCAGTGCCTCCGGTGGTTGTGCGGAATGATGAGTGGACATGGAAAGACATTTGTCATTACTTGTATGAAGAAAATGCATTCGATAATATTGTTATATCACCAGGCCCTGGTTCTCCAACGTGCCCAGATGATATAGGTGAGATGAAAAAACTGTGCCATATGCATTATTATGTTTACAAGTACTTTGAATACCTTGGATTGGTTATTCATGTTCTGTTGCAATCAGGGAATGTGGATTACACCATCCAGAATTATACTCAAAATCCCCCCTTAGTCCTAATGTATTGGTGCAAGTTCAATTTTAGCATGTTATAATTGATATAATTTTTAATGTAATTAACTTTTAAAAGACACAATTTGTCGCTAGAAGATGGTTGTATAACCTAATCTGGACATTATTGAGTTGCTGTTGCCAATCAAAAGGAAAAGGTTAAGAATCATTGGTGTGAATGTTTCAGCCAAGTGGACAGATGCACTCTGTTTTGCCAGCTGCTGCTTTAGATGATAATATTGGCTTGCTAACTTGTAGAGTTCTGATGTTCTGCGTTGAATATTATTAATTTTGCTGGATAAAGTTTTGATGCTTACGTTGTAATAATTAATTTGAATGGTGCAGGAATATGCCTTAGGCTGCTGCTTGAGTGCAGTGACATCCCTATTTTGGGTGTTTGCCTTGGACACCAGGTATTTGCGATACACATGTTTTTAAAATTTTGATCATTGGTATTTTTTATCTGACTCATCGCTTATAACAATAACATAATAATAGGATTTGAAGTTACGACTATAAACAGACTAGAATGCGTGTGTAGTTATATTTATATGATTTCTTGTCAATCCATTTCTTTTATGTTCTTGTTCATCTCTATTTTGAGCTGCTCTTCTTTTTATCTAAAGATCTGGCTGTTTTTTTATTTTTATTTTTTATTTTTAAATTTTACATAAATATATATACTCCCTCCGTCCCATATTAAAAGTTCACCTTGGGAACTGTGACTCACAAAAGTCCTACGTTCCCGAGGTGGATTTATATATATATATATATATAAAAATCCTTTTCATTATTATTTACCTATGTAAAACCACAATAAATAACCTTTTTGTGATAATATTTATAACTATGAACTTAGATAATTTTTTATTGATTATTATTATTATTGTTATTTCTTTTAATTTTAACATTGAAGTTGGAGATATAAGGTTTATAACAATTTGTTAGTGTGATTGTGGGTGGAGAAAGGAAGAAGAATAAGGTAATAGTTGGCTGTTATGTCTTCTTTATATTAGCTTTTGCTATTAATCGGGAAAGCAACTCTTCATATCACAATGGAAACCATCAATTACAGAATATCTAACTTATTATGTTTTTCCGTTGTGTTCTTGTAGAAGTTTGACCTGAATTTCAAATTCTTTTGACCTGAATTTCAAATTCTTTTGTTGTAATAGAATTAACTTGAATGCATGAAATAAATTCCACTAACCTTGACAATGTTGGTTGATTGCGCATTTTCTTTCAAGTAATTAAATGGATTTGAAAATTTGATCCAATAAATCTTGTAATGCTTGTATTTATTGCACCATCCAAGCTGTTATTATTTTTCCCCCTTCTTCCTAATCTGTTCTTTTACTGGCATTGTTGGTCCAAAGGGGAAGTGGAAAGTGCTTTGGAGATGTGTCCATCATGTGGTGGGAAGTGCCCAAGAAATGTCTGCTTCTTGTCAAGCTAAGCCTCTCAACCCCATAACGCCAAAGTCACTTGCCTAACAAAGCTTTGTTAAAGGCATCCATCCTCCTAATGCTCAATCCACCAAGCTGTATGGGCCCTACACACTTATCAAAAAAAAGTATAGGCCTGCACACTTGCTCCCAGTTCACAAGATGGAACTTAAACTCCTCACCCATATCGCCCCATAAGAAATTCCGCTGCGGCCTCTCTATCGTCTTCCCCCACCGAAATAGGCATATGGAACAAGGACATGAAATAGGTTGCGAGATTCAAGAGTGTGCTCTTCAAGAAAGTGAGTCCTCCCATAGACAAGTATTCCTTCTTCCAACCAGCCTCTCGAATTTGAAACGCTCCACCACTGGGTCCCAAGAGGAGGCTCCACATTCTCCTCGAAGATGCCCCCAAAGGCAGCCCTAGGTAATAGTTATGGAAAGACCCTACTCCGCAACCAAAAATGTCTGCCAATGAGCCTACATTGCAGGCCTCCACCACCATCACGATCTCACTCTTCTGGAGATCTACTTTCAGATCCGAAACTGCCTAAAAGCATACCAAAATCCAGCTTAGCTCCACAGCCCTCTTCATAAACCTACTAAAAAGCCTCGATCACCATGATAAAGACTAAAGAGGGAAGGGGAGGGATCCCCTTGCCTCGAATCCCTTGAGCTGTCGAAGAAACAAGTTGGGATCCATCAACTAAAATAGAGAACCTCATTGAAGAAATGTAATACTGGATCCATCTCCTCCAAACATCCCCAAAACCCATCCTCTGCAAGATGTACAGCAAGAAACTCCAGCTAACATGATCATATGCCTTCTCAATGTCTAGCTTGCATGCATATGATCCCCGACACACCACTGCTCAGTTTTGGAATCTACACTCACTAGTAAAGAGAACTGAATCTAGAATATGCCGCCCTCCAACAAAAGCATTTTGAGAATCCGACACTACATCCTCCAAGACACCCTTCAGTTTCAAAGCTAAGACCTTATTTATAAGTTTGTGCATGCTTCCTACCGGACTTAATGGGTCTAAAGTCCTTCACATCAACGACCCCACCTTTCTTGGGAATAAACACAATAAAGGTGGCATTCAAACTCTTTTCAAAGTAACCAAACTGATGAAAAGAGTAGAAAGTCTCCAACACTGCCTCCCGAACTACTCCCAATTCTGCTGGAAGAAAGCCATGGTAAAACCATTTGGGCCTGAAGCCTTATCTTCATTGCGACTCCTCAAAGCTAAGAGAATTTCCTCCTCCTGAAACAAGGCCTCCAATATGCATCTCTCCTCCTCTGAAATCGAGCCAAACTCCAACCTATCCAGCTGCGGCCTCCATGGACTGCTCTCAGTTTATGGTAACAAGAAGCTATACCTTGATGAATAAGGTGTAAAACGATCATTCGGTTTGAATAGGTACATATTCTTCCATTAAAAGGACTTCTCCTGTCCATTTTAAAAAGATCATGCTGGTTGTGAGGAGTTCGAGGGGCAACCGCATGATCTTCTCCTCTCCATTCTGTAGAGAGACTACAGTCATCATCACAGACCTCTTCCAAACCATTGGCTCCTCCCACCTCGTCTCTGCATCTGTCCCCTATACCACTAATCAATTTTAGTTTAGCCAACGGAGAGGCTACGAAATCCTCACGCAACCGGAGCTGAATACCTTTCCCAACTCGAAGAATGATCCCCCCATTTCCTTCTTAACCTGCACATCAACCATTGACTCCATCTTTGATCGAGCATTAATCACGGGCTCCCTGCTCTTCCACGATTTCTGATTACCCATGCAATCTTCACGATTCTCATGGCCAAAAAAATATGGGCTGGAATGATCGTCTGCCAGCGTTGCAACACTGCCATACCTCTCTTTCGTCTATGCTAATTGCACCTAGCGGGCCCGAGAAACCCGGTGAAGGAGAAGATAAGCATTGGGTTCTGGTTCGGTATAACTAACCTGAAAATTGAGCCGACAAGGTGATTTTTCCCCCCTCATTTTTAGCCTCCCTTGACCCACCAGAAAAGTGCCACTTACCTTTCCAGTCCCAATCATCTTCTACATTAACCACCAATCATCTTCCTTCATCAGCTCTCTTTAACCATTATTTGTACCTTCTCTGCATCCAATCTTTCATTGGCTTCCAGCCCCATGAAATCCCCACACATTTTGCCAACCACTACAAACAAGTCATGACTCCACCAAGTGTAAAAGAAGACCACACAGTAGCAACCACCTCTTCCCCTCTTCTTTCAGAACACCTGAGCAACCCACCCTGAAACTCCACTTGTTAATATGCAAAGTGGCCTCTTCCCACTGCCTTTTGCCTTCTATCGACACTCAAATCGTCTCTGCATGCGACGGTAATAGAAATATAAAAAGAAAATTCGGCAATGGTAGCACCCCCACTCTACTTGGAACCCTCCATGCTTTTGTTGCCAAGCTGCAATTTGATTCCGATCGCCCACATCCCTATTAAATTTCCCTGCCAAACCGGCTCTCAAATCTAACCTACTTCTCCATATTGCGTCTTCCTCTAGTTCAAACGATGGCCCACCTTGTGATTGTGAGACCTTCGCTACCCCTCCTTTCACGAGGCGAGGTAGCCTCACCAAGTTCAGAGATGACCGCGACAAGTTGTTCATGGAGTTACCACTCTCGGGGAGGGGGGAGGGGGAGAGAGAGAGAGAAAGAGGGGGGAAAATCAACAACATAAATTCCAACTAGTCCTTAGGCCAAAGACACAGGACTGGTGTTGCATGTGTAAGAGGGATGTTGAGTCGGTTGATCCTCTTTTGCTGCATTGTCCTGTGGTTAGGATACTTGGGGCTTGCTTTTTGGCTCTCTTGGGTTTAGTGGGTTATGCCTTGGTCTTCATTAGGCATGATTGAGGCTTGGAGGGGGTGTATAGTGGGTCCTTAAGCTCGTCATTTTCGGAGAGTGGCACTCTTATGTGTTTGGTGGTGCTTGTGGAAGGAAAGGAATAGGAAATCATTGAGTGGATAGGGGCCCCATTTGGCCCTTGTGTAGTTTTTGTTGGATGCGCTCCCCTTTTGAGTGCCTTCTATTACAATCTTACTAACAAAAAAAAAAGAAAAAGAAAAAAAAGAAGAAGGGGAATAGGAGATCATTGGATGTGGAGGAGACTCCTATTGGGGCTCTGAAATTCTCTATTCTTAGCTCTCTTTTTTGTTGGGTTTCTAGGAGAAATTGTAAATCCACGCGAGAGATAGTTAAATTTTTGGACATATTAAGGGGCTAAGGGCCCTATTTGGTCCATGTTTGTTCTTCTGGGCTGCGTTCCCCTTTTGAATTTTTTCTAATACAATCTTACTTGGCAAAAAATAAAATGTTAAAGTTGTCAAAAGAAAGCAAAACTCCAAGTGCTGAGTTTTTTTTATAAGATAATTTCATTAAAAGAGCCTTCAAAAGGGTTATGCATCCCGAAACAACAGCACAATGTCCAAAAAACAAGTTATTATTACCTTTAATTGCAACCCAACCCCCCCCCCCCCCGGCGGGCCGTCCTTGTTTGTTCTTCTGGGCTGCGTTCCCCTTTTGAATTTTTTCTAATATAATCTTGGCAAAAAAAATTATGTTAAAGTTGGCAAAAGAAAGCAAAATTCCATGTGCCGAATTTTTTTATTCGATAATTTCATTAAAAGAGCCTTCTAAAGGTTTATGCATCCCGAAACAAAAGCACAACGACCCAAAACCCTCCCACCCCAAAAAAAAAAAAAAAAAAAATGGTTTACAAGTATTCACATATATCCAGAATAATAAAAAACTGAGTGTGCATAATTTCAGCGCCCAAATAGGAGCTTGAGTGTATAATTTCAGCGCCAAATAGGAGCTTCCACACCAAGAAAACATATCTTATTCCTATCCCTCCAAAGACTCCCAAAGACAAAGCCCTTCGAGTCCCATCCAGAGAGGAGTGTTGGGAATTAGAAGATTGG